GTATTACACCTAGAAAAAAAATAAACTATTCTTTTTACTTATTTGAATGAAGCTGTTCTTGACCATATGGTTGCCCCATCCTGATCTCAAAAACATACTGGTATACTTCATGTAGGCACATTTGTGGTATTGAAAGATGAATCTTCAGCATACACATTTGAAAATATCACAATTTATTTCTTTGTCATATGTTGTTAGAGAAGATAGTGCCACAAATAAAAGATTAGAAAGGTATACCAAGGTGTAACATCCTTCCTTTGGTCCTAATGTCTCACCATTAAAGGTGATGTTAGGGTAGGTTACACATACACGAACGCCCTCACTATTATCAAACTGAGGAATACCCCTCTTGTGGACTTACTCTGAGATCATTTGTGTTTAATATTGTTGTTAGGCTTTGTGTTTGCCTTGTGGTACAGAAGTTCAAGCTCAGAGCCTCATTCGTGGCAAACAGGCATTCTACCACTGAGCTGCGACCTCAGTTCTGCTCACTCTACCACCATTAACACTCATGCAAGTTCAAAAACTAGAAGATACAATTCTTTTTGAAGTCCTGTCTTATTGATCAGTTAATTTTTCTATACAAATTTCATGTTTTGAATACAGGTAAACATTGTTGGCTCATGACAGAATTTCCCTGATAGGGCTAAATTCTTAGCCTTTTACATTTTTCTGAGTGTTACCTAAGAGGACTTTTACTGGTCCTCAAGTACTTTACTTGGTGTTTTCTTAGAATATTGTTGGCACAACCATATGATTATTAATTATCTGTCTAAATATTTAATTCATTAATTAATTTATAAACTCTCTAAAAAGTAGAGTGGCTTATTCCTATGTCTAACATATAAAAATATTAACATGGGTTTTCACCAAAATTTATCAAATAAACAAATACGTCTGTGTGGATAAAAGAGTGAATTTGACAATGTATTCTACTTTTATGGCTCAGTTTACTCCTAAAACTCCATTAAGTATTTCCCAGTGATAATAAAAACAAAATTTAATTAAAAACAATAATATGGAGAGAAGGGTCACTTAAAGATGTTTTCAGCTTCCTGTTTTTAATTTATTTCACTGAAATCAAATCGAGCAACGAGCACTGTATCAGAACATTACAAAATGCCTGCAATGCTTAAAGATAATTTCCCAAATAAATGTGCATAGACAAGGTTATTATACTTTGCTTATCTTATTAGCAGTTCTTCCTCGAGTATGAACTATTTGATGAAGCTGAAATATAATAACTAATTAAAAGTACTAGTGGAAGGCAGTTTTGTGGATGCTCACCTTATTAGACCTGGATGGAGGTGGGTGGTCCTTGGACTTCCCACAGGGCAGAGAACCCTGATTGCTTTTTGGGCTGACGAGGGAGGGGGACTTGATTGGGNGGGTTCCCTGCCCTGTGGAAAGTCCAAGGTCCTCCCCCCTCCGTCCATGTCTAGGAAGGTGAACGTCCAAACTGGCTAGGCTCCCGCCAAGCCGGAACATGAAGTAGGATCAAAACCCCATGCCATTGTCCTTGGCTTCTCATCAGCCCTTATTGTTCACCATGATCAGATGTCCGGTTTTATCCCATGCTTTTTCAGTCTGTATATATTTATTAAATACTCCCCAAAATAATTAACACCAGATAAATTGAGGTAATCAGTAATCAAAAATTGACAGTGCTTCATCTTCCAAGTTAGTTCTTTGTATTCAGATTTGTGATTTTTTGTGGCTCAAAGGACTTCACAATGTGTGGCATTCTCAGAGAAATTTTCAAGTTAGTGTATGTAGTGAGGTTACATACAGCTTCTTTGCTATAATTATCACTTCTATGTAGAATACACGTGAAGTACTTATCACACTAAAGTTTGATAATCACTTAATACATTAATAACAATGAAAAACAAAAAGCCAGTGTATTCTAGAAAATAAAATCTGTCACTTTGTGGATTATCCAGATTGTGTGTAGGAGGGAAATAAAAATTTTAGATAGGGTCAATATTAGATCAAAAGCTACTTAAAAATACAGTAAAATTAAAGCATTTTAAACACTATGAAACACACAATTATTATGTGAAACAAAATGATGTTAGATATGGGGGGAAAGGGATGATGGAGGAAAACCTTCTGTTATTTCCAGGACGTTCACATGTGCAAGAATTGAAGTATTACTTAGAGGGTCAAAGATGTCACAAAGATGCATTGTATACATCAGGCTACTAATAGCATTGTTATTACAAACAGGAGAAAAACTCAGCGTTGGCAACAAGAAGTATGAAACCAATATTCCAAACACTACTAGTGGAACAGGAGAAAATCAAAGAATGGATTTTTTCTTGTCTAGAAGTTTGCTTAGAGCATCTTTGACATCTTTGTTCCTCAGAGAGTAGATCAGAGGGTTCAGCATTGGTGTGACTAGGGAGTAGCACAAGGAAGCCAGCTTACTCAGTTCAGGGAATCTGTCAGGGGTGAGATACATGAAGAAGACAGCACCGTAGAGCACACTCACAACACCCAGGTGAGAGCTGCAAGTGGAGAAGGCCTTCTTCCTTCCCTCCGTGGAGCGTATCTTTAGCACGGTGGACACGATGTACATGTAAGAAACAACGATGACTATGACCGTTGGTAAGATAATGATACCAGACAAGGAAAAGGATACTATTTTGTGTACGAAAAGGTCAGTACAAGACAGTCTTTGAATTGGTCGAGTATCGCAGTAAAAGTGGTCGACAGCCCGAGAAGCACAAAACGATAAAGTAAATGTCATGCTGGTCTGGAGAACAGAGCTGATGCAGCCACAGAAGTACGAGCCTGCCACCAGCTGGGCACAGAGGCGTGTGGACATGTGAACAGAGTAGAGGAGTGGGTTGCAGATGGCGATGAAACGATCATAGGCCATGGCTGCCAGGAGAAATCCTTCCGCCACAATGAATAGTGTAAAGAGAAATATCTGTGTCTCGCAGCCTGCGAACGAGATGGACTTGCTCTCGGTCCAAAAGTTGCTCATAGCCTTCGGCGCGATAACAGATGAATAGAAGAGGTCGATGAAGGAGAGGTTACCTAGGAAGAAATACATTGGTGTGTTCAGCCGGGGATCAGTCAAAATAATGGTCATCATCCCAACGTTTCCTAGAAGGATCATGGCATACACGAGCAGAAAGAGCAGGAAGAGCAGAAGATGGAGCTCAGGGCCGACCCTGAAGCCTACAAGGATGAAGTCAGTCACTCCTGAGTGATTGCTTGCTCCCCTGTCACCCATGGAGGAGATCTGATGAGAGGCATAAGGCAAAATAAACAAACTCTTAGCTTGATCTTAGTGTTACAAGTAGCTGATATAGGGCAGGCGTTTAAAGGGCTCTCAGCAATTTTAGCTTCAAAATCCTTCAACTTAAACTGAATTCAATCAGCTAATATAGACTCTACACATTAGTTTCAATATAAATTTCTAAAATTGGGATAATTTAGCATATTTCTTAAATGCCTTTCTCCTAAAATGTTTGTCATATTTACTGTACCATTGATCCATAGATTATTTTGCTACTGTATACATTAATTTTTAATATTATGAAGCAGTAACAGGAAGAACTAATCTTGTTAAAATTTGCTAACTAGCATCAGAACTATAAATTACAGCAAAGAAATACGTCTCTAGTCTCTTTGCTCCTGATAAACCATGTTGTATTACTATCAGGCACCACTTATCAATAAAAACTTCCTGTTACTTTAATTAACTTTCTTGGACTTATTTTTTGTTTTTAATAAAAAATTCCTTAATTTTTCAACGTGGGCCAAACATATTTTATAAGAAGAATAATGATTATTAACAAACATTAAGATTAATATTGAATACTGATTATTTTTGTAATAATGGCTTTTTTTAAGATCACAAATAATTTCTTTCCATATGTGGTCAGCATATCATTTGTGTATTACAAATACCAATTAATCAATGTACACTTGTTCTAGAAATTAAAGTAACCTAGTAATAAAACATGCGGACTCAGGGTCACACCTGAAGGCTGCATAGTTATGCATTTATGCAATACAACACAAGCTTTAGGTTGAAATAGACTTTTCCTTTCTAATTTAGACCTCGGATACAAGTCTGCAACTAATGTTTTACCACACTTTTCCATAATTGGTCAATTAACTCAAGCACAGACAATCAATTTTAATTTTTTTGGAAATTTGTGATATGCATATGGACTTTGGGATAAGTCAGTCTATGTTGCAGTAAGGAGCCAGGGAAATTTTTTAAGTCTAGGGAATGAAAGACATCAGTGAGAAATGCAATTATATTATGTCAGAAAATCAATGATGATGGTAACAGTAATAACCACTATTCAACAACACAGTTTTAAATATTAAAAATAAAATATTAACTAAATTCCTCAAAAGTTACATGCCCAAATATAAAACCACAAACTTCTGAATTAGGAAAAGACAGGGGGTGTTGGAATATGAGATACTAAAGCAATGAAAGAAAGCTGAAGGAGTCGTGTAATATTTGCAAACAGCATATTACCTTTACTTTAATATTGCCTAGAGCCAAAGACACCAATGTTTTTATATTTACCCTTATCCATTTCATCACCACATTTTCATACTAGTGCCAAATATCCATTACCCTCCGCAGCCCTAGCTCCTTTAAGGTGAAGCTCAACTCGTCCTCTGTGTATTTGTTAGCTTGCTGTTTTTGAATCTAGCCAGCGGTCTTTCGTGATTATTGTACACATTTACTATGTGGGTAATAATTGAATGATGATGAGCATGCAAAGTCATAGCCATGTTTTTAAACATCTAATAAATGAAATAGAGTTTAGCATATAAATATCAGAAAATTTAAAGCAAAGTCATTCACATCTTAAGAAAAGAATTCTTCCCTCGGTACCAACCAAGAAACTAGTCACAGTTGCTGAATCTCAAATATTTTTTAAAGTTACTTTTACCTTCTACGATTAGGTGGTTGATCAGACTCTGTTTAAAATGAAGCAGCAGAATCACAAGGTTCCTTCTTTTTGGCACTATTATTTTAGTTCTGTGATGTGTAAATATAAACTTGGTTAATTATTCTTTCACAAGCGTATTTTAAAGTTATTTCAAAATAAAATCAACTCAACCCTTCAAACATCCATCCACAATCTGAGTTTCAGGATCTCTCACAGAGAAGCATAACCTAAACTCATCAATGCCTTCTGTTTAAAAACTTCTGCTTTATTAGTTGCTTTCTTGAAAAATTCAGGTCTTAGGAGAGTGAAGATAAACTTCATGAATGGTGAACTGTTAAACCTTAAATAATGTTAGGAGCTATAATTTGTGACCATGCAAGGTGAACCAGAAGAATCAACCAGGAGAATATTCTCTGCATACAGTCTTAGATGCTTGTCTGCTTTCAGGAAGGAGTTGGGTTACACTGGATATATATGTCCTGGCCCTTAGCCATCCGGAACCTCTAGTGATATACCATAGCATCAGACAAAGCTATCCACACAGGCTTTAGACTTGATGTAACATTGTCGCTTTTACAAATAAGTGTAGCACTGAGATTTCCCTCACCCTTCTGGGAGACAGCCCTCCAGGGATAAAAGGAAATACAACTTAATTATTAAGATTTCTATGTTCCAAAATCAAGTCCATGAGGGCCATGAAGAATCTGGATATTTTTAAAACTAACAATAGGAATTAAGTACATGCCAGAGGACTTTTCCTTCCTTAAATGAGTCTGTGAGATAAGGTAGAAGAATCTTTTTATTTAATTTCTGCATAAAAAATTAGCATCTGAGCTTTGACTGAAAAAATGTTTTGTTAAACAGGTAATATAGCTACTAAAGGGTATAGTTCTCTCTGTAATATAGGCATGGCCTAATTTTTAAAATTATTTTTAACTGTTTTGTCACTTGTAATTGAGAATATAAAACACAATACTAAGATGATGATATGGACAAGCACAGCAATACAGCTAGTTTACTAAGTTCTGAATAAATCACGACTGACTAAACTTAGAATCAGGCTCATTTCTATTTTTAATATATTTTATTAATTCCTGATAATTTTATACATGTATATAATATATATTTGGCATATCAACCCTCAGTCCTTTATATATCCCACTCCTAGATTGTCCCTAAAAATGCTTAATTTAATCTTCTTTTTCATTGTAACCCACAAATTACAATTTTTGTTTTTCACATAATCATAAGATGTAAGGTTATGGAGTGACGTTTGCCTTCTAGGACTCACATTAATAAATAAAACTAACTCTTCCTTACCAAGAAGCCATCAGCAGGTGAGGAATTATAACCTCCTACCCTTCTATATTAGCCAAGGTTATCTAATGAGTAGATCTCATAAAATAATATTTTTTATTCAAAATGTTATGCAATATATTTTGATGATTTTTTCATATTCTACAACTCCTTTCAAACTCTTTACCCAATACTTTTATGTTTTCTATCAATAAAAAAATAGGATGAACGAAGGAAGAATGAAAAAAACACAAACCACAAAAATGAGAATTCAAACAAACAAAAAAGACAAAAGTCAAAATAAAACAAATGAAACTAAAATCAGACACACACACTAAATAACCATTGGGTTTGTTTTGTGTTGGCCACCTATTCCTAGGTCTGCACAAGAGTGTGGTTGTTACACGCAGTGACACTCCATCGATTGCAAATATCTTCTTGGTTAGAGGTGTGACTTTGTGTCTACAACCTCTTCTCAGTGCTGAGCTTTTGTTTGGCTTGCATCTGTGAAGGTCTTGCTCAAGGATAAGATCAATAAATCAAATGACGGCACCTGTTGATAAGTATGTGGGGGACTGGGGACACTATTCATTGCCAGTGAGAGGGAAAATCGGTGCAGCCACTTTGGAAATCAGTGTGACAGTGCCTCATGAAGCTGAGAATCGATTTGTCTCAAGATCCTGCTATACCACTCTTGGGTATACACCCAAGGACTCTAGATCTCACTACACTGATCCTTACTCATCCTCGTTATTGCCACTCTATTAATAATAGCGAGAAATTGGAAACAGCCTGAAGCTTCATCAGGTGATGAATGGAAATGAACCATGTCATGAAAATGAGGCACATTTACATAATGGATTTTTTTTAACTCAAGGGAAATTTTATTGATGTTTAAAGAAAAAAAACTCAGGACAAGTAAGCTGTGTGTGGATTGTGAAAGCTGCCTAAAGAAGAAGAATCTCTCAGCAGAGAGGGGAATTGTGGCTTGAGTCAAGTCAGCATTAGAGATCAGCCACATAGCAGACAAGCAGCCTCGTGGTGGGGAAGAGGGTTTGAAGAAAGAGTGAAGTCCAAAGGGCTGGGAAAAGGGTGCTTCAAAAAGAGATGAGGTTGGGAAAGGGACAGGTATGGTTTTCTCAGAGATTGGAGAACCAGACAGACTTAGAAAGCTGCATAGCTACAGTCTTTACAGGACTCTACTAGAGGGTGGAAATTCTGCAAAGGCAAAGTCCATTAGCTCATTAAAAGGCCAATTACTCCTCCTACCTCTTAATTTAGCTTCCAGTGAACCAGCATCCTGAAGGCTGGTTCCTTGGCAAGTTGATTGGCTGAACCAGCTGGATTGACTTTTGTTTAATATTTTACCTTATTTTATATATAAGCGTACCTTCTCTCCACATAGTGTGCACCTCATGTGTTCCTGTTGCCCAAGGAGGCTAGAAGAGGACACCAGATCCCCTGGAACTGGAGCTCCAGGTGATTGTGAACTGCCTTGCGGGTAGTGAGAGCCAAACTTTGTTCCTCTGCAAGAGCAGTAGGAACTCTTAATGGCTAAGCCATCTCTCTAGGCCCTTTTGTTAATGAAAGACAGAAAGAGAGTGAATCTGTGGGGGGAAGAGAGGTGGGGAGGATCTGGCAGGAGTAGAGTGAGGGGAACTGGAGTCAGTATATATTATATGAGAAAAGAAATCTATGCTTGAAAAAAGGAAAAAAGTATTAAAAAGAGAAAGAATTGCATGACAGGGTAAAGGGCATGGCCAATTGAACTAGCACACTGGTCCAGTATCGGACAGACTTAGGTTCAAGGTTCCCATGTTCACAGAATTCTCAAATGTCAGTTCAGAAGACATTAAAGGCAGGGTAATTGCTATTTGCCGCTCTGTTGTTTGAGACATTTGAAATAGGGTGCAGACTCTGAGATTATCCTTGAGCAAGAAAATTCATCCCTCTGCTAGTACAAAGGCTTCTGTTACCATGAAGACTTGCATAAAGGAAAAGCTGAACCACACAACATACAAAGGATACTGTTTTCCAAGATAAGATGTTGGCCATGGCTTTAGGTACAGTAACAGTGGAGTAGGAGAGGTCAATGACAGAGGTTGCCTAGGAAGAGATACATTGGTGTATTCAGTCCAGGCTCAGTCACTACGATGCCAATAATGTTAAAGTTCCCCCAGAAGAACCATCACAGAAATAGAAGAAAGAGGACACTGTAGAGTTCTGGACAGACCTTGATGCCTACAAGAATGAAGTCAGTCACTTCTGAGTTGTGAATGAAATCAGTGACGTCTGATTGGTTGGCTCTTTCCATGTCACCCATGGCAAATTTCTGCTTCTGGTTATAAAAGAAAATCACAATATAACTCCCCACATTTTATCAGCTATAACCAATAAAATTTCACATTGAAGAAACCTAGACTTGACATAAGCTTTCAAATCCACTACCCAACTAATTTACACAGCAGCAAACTGTAGATGAGAGATACCTTGCTGCTGCCTAAGACAACACAATTGGATCATAAATAAATAAATATATAAATAAATAAATAAATAAATAAATAAATAAATAAGAAGATCCAGTATTGTTATGTGGAGTCATTATTTCTATGTATTCAAATGCATGTTTTAATTTTTTGGATTTTTATGAAAAATTTATTGAAAGAAGCAGCAGACAAAAGATATAAGCTAGGTAATAAAGCCTTTGGGTTTTGAAGGAGTCTTGTAATCATAAGAAAAGAAAAAAATATCACTACACTTTGTATAACTAGGGAGGTTGGTGAGTCAAGGGGAAACTGCCTATCACTGTTTTTCATTGTGGCTCTGCCACTAATCTCAGGCCTGTGAAATAAGTTTCCTGGATTATTGTAGTTTTTTATTATCCATAACACTAATGGGAAGAATGAATAACATTTGGCTTAAATAAAAAAGAAGAAAATGATATGTTTAGCTATTAGACAACTTAATTAATAATAAATGTATTTTTCATAATTTAAGAAAACCACAAATGCTTCAACATAGCTCAAGTTGTTTTCATTGTTTATCAGTTAGCCTACAAGAAAATTAAGTGGTTTGGGTGTTTTTAGAAAGTTAACATGTATTTATTCTTAAAACTACTGAGCACTCACTGTTAGATTAAGAGCTCATTAATAATTCCTGTCTAATATAATCTATTCTTCTTCTATGGAGTCAAGAGGTTTTTTGATTGGCTCATTTCTTTAAGCTTCTAATTTTTTCTCACATTCTAAAATGTTTCAGATGTGTTTTCTGACAGATTTACACAGAAATAAGAAGAATCAAACTCCAAAGGGTAAAACTATAAATGTCTTACTGATTTTTTTTGCATTTAAATCAAATGGGTGTGTTCCATGAACTGAAGATTAGCCAGTTTATAAAAGATCTCTCTCCGACGAAAATAATTTCTTGATAAATATCTGTAGTTGTAAGAGTTCATTTGCTAAAAAGATACTACCTTGCATTTTACTCTTAGCTTTCTTTTTTTAATTTTTATTACAAACAAAAGGCAATACACACTATTAAAAAGAAAAACAAATATAAAATAGTAAAGTAAAATTTTAGAAAACTGTAATTTTAGTATTATGGGTTTATCACTCTTTAAAATTTTGATATTATCTTAGCCATAAATTACAAATTCACAGGATCTCATATGACAGTACAGATATATGAAATATCTAAAATTCATTCTGAAAGGTTTATAATGGTTTGATTTCAATGGTGGTGGACATGATTTAAATTTACTGCACAAGGTGGATAACGGTGTTCATCTTTATTGGAGAAGAATAGGAAAAGTCTTCTCAGGTTCCCAAGTCTGCAGAACACCTTCAGGTGCTGTCCATTGGTTGGTTTGGAATGGGAAAGGATTCTCTTAAAGGAGACAGAAGGTTAAATCATTTTACATGTTTCTGCCTGTCGCAATAAATCATAAGCTTGTAACTTAATGAGCTTGATTGTGACAATCATTTCAAAATGTGTAGTGCATTCAAATAGGACTAGATACCTACAGTTACCTTTGCTATATTAAGAAGACTTTTGTGAAAATGTCACAAGTTTAATTGGCTTTGAAGTTTAATCTAAATTTAAAATAAAAGGAGGATTTAGTAAGGAAGAAATCTCATTTCTTTAACAAATCAAGAGCTACTTTGTTGCTACACCCATAAAAGCAACATAATTTTTCAAAACTAATCTGTCTGTATTTAACAAACTATTCATTAATGTGTTTAGTCAGCATTTATAAGCATCTAATCTCTGGCAAGAATTGTTTGCCACTAAATATAAAGGTTTTTCAAATATTCAATTCAGGACTAGTTTATGGCATGAAGTGGTGTTATTTCATGAAGCGTTTATCATGACGTGAACGTGATCTTTAGTTCACTGTTAAGTGACCAACAATAACTCACTCGTTGCTGGTTTTTTAAAAACACATTTGCAATAGGATATGGTGACGCTGCTGAAGGTTATAGGTAAGATATTGAATGAGCACAACAGCCTTACGTGACTTTAAGAGCAAACCTGACTGTCAGGGCTCCTGGTTGTTTTTCAATCACACTGTAGATAACTTTGGATATAGAAAAGTTTTTAATATATCTGTGAAGAACAGCTGACTATTCTAACCTAAACACACAGTTGGTACTGTTCATATCTTGCATACAAAATTACAAAAGATAGATTTATCTGTATTAATAGTTAAATTGATCATATTACATATGAAAAGACTGGAACAATATTATAAAGGAAATGTATGAGTTCTATGATTGTAAAATTTACTAAGCAGTGAAAACAAATAAAATAATAGAATTCATGTAACTCAAACTCTATTTTAAATATCAACTATTGTATATTGTTTGATTCAGCCATTATCTTTCTTCAGGGTAATGGAATATGGTTTTCTGATGTGCGAGTTCCCTCTGTGTGCTGTGGTTACCATTAATGAATAAAGAAACTGTCTTGGCCGGGTGATAGGGCAGAACTTAGGTAGGAGGACTGGACTGAATGCTGGGAGAAAGAAAGGCAGAGTCAGGAGACGCCATGGATCCTCCGCTGAAGATAGACATGCTGAAACTTTGCTGGTAAGCCACGACCTCATGGTGATATACAGATCACTAGAAATGGGTTAAACTAAGATGTAAAAGTTAGCCAGTAAAAAGCTAGAGCTAATGGGCCAAGCAGTGATTTAATTAATACAGTTTCTGTGTGATTATTTTGGTTCTGGACAGCCAGGACAAACAAGCAGCTTCCTCCAACAATTCTCAAAGATTATGCTTACCTGAATAATCATTAAATTATGTCATCACATTTTGAGATTCAATAAAAGTATGTTTTAGGAATCTAGATAAAGCCCTGAGTTTTTCTTTTTTTTTTTTTTTTTTTTTTTTTTTTTTTTTTTTTTTTTTTTTTTTTTTTTGTTTTTTTTTTTTTTTTTTTTTTTTTTTTTTTTTGCTTTTTTTTTTTTTTGTTT